CATGGAATTTTTTTAATGAAATAATAATAAAAAATTTAAACGAAATTCAGCCATGAGTTTTTGTATAATTGCTATAGATTAAGTTTTTCCTACTTTTATAGCTATACTTCAGTCATTCTAATACCTTTACAAACTGGCTCTTTTATCCTTACCTTCTTTATAAGACTGTGTGGATTCCCTTTAAGTCTTTCAATGTTGCAGTCTCTCCAACTGAAAAGCATCTCCTACTTTTCGAATGCCTTATTCTATACTTTTTTTTCTGACTAATGCTTTTTAAAGCTCGGTCCCATCGGTGCGCCTGGCGTTACGTCAATCGGGCCTGGTCAGCGTCCTCCCTCACAGCAGCAACAAGCAATTGGGCAAATGAACGTTATGATGCAGCAGCATCCGGGTGGTGCTACACGACCCGTTGGTGGTCCGGCTCGGCCCACGGGCATTCTGCTCACTAGCCAGTCCGGTGGGCCCCTGGGACCCTCTGGACAGCAGCAGCAACCACAGCAACAGGCCGGCGCCCAAACTCTTGGTCAGATGTCAGGCATGATGACCCGTCCTCGTCTCACTGCACTCACTAGCAATGCTACAACTGTCTCTCTTACTCCACCTGGAGTTACGATGGCAACTGGCCCTAATGTAGCCATGGCTCCGACCTCCTTGAATCTCGGAGGTGGACCAAATGGCGGAAGTGGTCACGCGATGTCCCTTGTGGGTCTTACTGGTTCCAGTAGTCAAGCTCAGGGCATCCCGGTGACTCTTTCTAGCCAGTCTATTGGGCATGGTCGGGTAAGTACAGGGACTTGAAATTCTCATATTATTATTGTTACTCTTTTTTGTGCATCGGGCATCTATCTCATCAGTAAAAGATTGTATTAGGGATATTTTTAAGAAAGTTTTACTTGGTTTATCTTTTTCTGCTTTTCTTATCCATATTGCTCAAAAGTCGTTTTTCCATTGCAGCTACCTTCATTAATTCTTTTCTATCCATTGTACTAAATAGTCAAATCGGATGAATCTCTCTTGGCCCAAGTGCCATATTTCTTAATTGTCGCTTCAAGTCAAGTCTATGGTTATTCTCATCTAAGATTTTCCTATCATTTTCTTTAATTTTTCACTCATTGAACTGCTTTTGGGCTATACTTAAAATTCGCGCATATTCAATTGGTTTAATACCAGTACCAAATATTATTTTAATTTTATTTATTTTTGCCATTCGGTAATGTTTATTTACTTAATAGCTGATCCTTTCATTGTCTCCATTGCTGTCCCTTTTCGTCAATGGATCTTTTATTTCGAAATAAAAGTTGGTTAAAAAATATTTTTCCTTTTGTCCCATCGGAAACTGAAGGAGGACTGTTTTTGACTTATGACTGCTGAATTGTACAAAGAAGTCCTTGATACACCGTTCTGTGGTCTCAATAAATCCGTGTTGAGTTTTCGTTTGTCGTGTGGCAGGCATCGTCTGAGCACGATTTCACTCCTCTAGAACACTTCTTCAAACACCAAATCAAGATTTCTAGTCTGCTCTGATCCTATCTCTCTTTTGTGGCTTAACCTTACCGGTTTCCGTTAAGGCCAATATACGAATTTGTTAAAAAAATTTTCTTTTAAAGGATTTGTTCAGTAGAGGATTTTTATAAACCAAGCTTTTGTTCATGCATATGATCTATTCTTGCATTTAGGATTTTTCGGTCTCAGAAGCCTGGCGAAGGCGACTACGCTTCATTAAATCCATTTAAAGTAACACGCTCTTAGGCGGCTTTGGGTCAAGCGAGGACATGGAATGGTATTAATGGGTAGATAGGCTATATACAGTTGAGTAAAGATAGAAATCTACTGCTTTAAGCTAGGACAAAGGGAAAAGGAGAGATGCCACATCGATTTAACAGAAAATTGGTCAAGAGGAATGGGTTCACTCATCACGTTGATAAGTTGTAACTATGACAATAGCCTTTGTCATTGACGATGTCGACACGACCTCTGGGGATGTACCAACGGTCTAATGCTGGCAGAAGAGGCAGGACTATGTACACTCCATGTCTCCCTGTTACTTTACACAGCACATTTATGATATATCTACTTATATCGACTGCTCATGCAGTAAACCAAATTTCGTTATTTGTTGCCCGGCTTGCAAATAACAGCTTATTTATATTCAAATTTTTCTTGTCTATTCCTCGTTTTAACCAGGTTCAGAAACTCTCAATTGATCTCAAATTTCCTTTATATATATATATATATTATTATCTTATTAAAACGCTTTTGTGTCCTCATCTAATTAGGTTATAATTTCCAATCAGCATAATTTTTATTAATTCTAATTTGTTATTTTTAAGCTACTTATCATTTTGATTTAATTATTCGGGTAACAAGTGTATCTATCTTGAATATAAAATATTGTGCAACTCGACTGGTCTTTACCAATACTATTTTAACTTCGTTCCTACTTAATGCAGATCTAGTTATTAATAGACAGTTTTGGCCTAGTATTTACCTCATCATTAATCAAACCCTCTCAAAAAACTTTTCATTTGCAATCCTATTATTACTTGCGCGTCTTTCCCTCTAAATAATCTTTATGCGTTTCCCCCACATTTCAAAGGACTCTAAATTTATTAAATAACTAATCGGCAATATATTCGAAAGTGACTTTTATATCAAACTTTATATTGTCTTAGACATTAGTGGTGCCTTATACAAAGTTATGTCTTATTTTTTATTCATGTTGGGCTGTATGTAATCATTTTCCATTTTAATTGATTTTTTTTTTAAACTTTTGAAAGCTTTCTATATGCAACTCTACCGAACTTTATCTATTCAAGACTCTTATCCACCGATTTCACAATTCGTATGCTGTCATGCATTCTTATTAGT